AGTTGAAGTCCACAAGTCTTCAACTTGCCAAGTTTTAAGACCCTTGTACTAGCACTAGTATGGGTAGTCCTTGGACTTACAACAGTCCAAGGTCTTAAAAGTTGCCAAGTTTGGGGATCCCTGGTCTACCAGATTAAACCAAGGTGGATTTGCATATTATTCCAGGTTTTGTACAAATTCAGGAAAGCTACATTTCATGAGAATGGAAGAAAAATTATCAATGGAAAATGATTTGTGAGTAGAAGCGCTAGAAGGGAGTGAGGTTTACTCCGATTATATACTAGTGTGGTATTTTACCACAGGTTGAGAACCACTGCACTGTATACTAGCACAGGGGGCTTCAAACTCGATAGCTTTAAGACTTGTGGACTTCAACTTCCAGAATTCCTCCTCCAGTCATGTTAGCTCAGGAATTCTGGGAGTTGAAGTTCTCAAGTCTTAAACTTGCCAAGTTTGAAAACCCTTGTACTAGCATTAGTATGGGTAGTCCTTGGACTTACAACAGTTCATTTAGTGACCGTTCAAAGTTACAACAGCATTGAAAAAGGTGACTTATATGACCATTTTTCACACTTAGGACCATGGCAGCATCCCCGAGGGTCACATGATTCATATTCGGTTGCTTGGCAACCGATTCATATTTATGACGGTTGCAGCATCCCAGGGTCAGGTATGATCTGCTTTTGCAACCTTCTGACAAGCAAAGTCAATGGGGAAGCCAGGTTCACTTAACAGTAATTTAACAATGGTAATGATTCACTTAACAAACGGGGCAAGAAAAGTTTTAAAATGGGGCAAAGCGCACTTAACACATATCTCACTTAGCAGCATTAATTTTGACCTCAGTTGTGGTCATAAGTCAAGGACTATCTGTATATCTAGCTGTGATGTCCTCCCAGAGTGGTCTGTGAAGGCTTGAAGAAATGTTATGATTTAAATCTTGATTTAAGTCTTGGGGGTCTGTGGCTACGAAAGGTATTTAAAGGGAGGCCGTGGTGAACAAAAGATTAAGAACCCCCCTACGAATGGTTTTTCCTGTCAGTATTACTGGGAGTATTCTTGGTGGTCCCTTGATTAGGCTGTTGCTTATTGTTTAATTGTTTGTCCTAGTTGGTAGTTCATTGATTACCATATTGGAGTAATGTCCCAAAGGTGGTTTTTTTTTCAGGAGTTTCTTGTTTTTCTTTGAAGACATTTCGCTTCTCATCCAAGAAGCTTCTTCAGCTCTGACTGAATAGTGTGGAAGCTAAAGAAGCTTCTTGGATGAGAAGCAAAACATCTTCAAGGAAAAATCAGAACTGAAGAAGCTTCTTGGATGAGAAGCGAAATGTCTTCAAAGAAAAACAAGGAAGTCCAGTTGCCTTCTGAAAAAAGCACGGCTGGGACAACTACTACCTGGATGACTGAGAATCTCTATAGATATTTAAGTAATAAAATGTCTGCGAGGAAACCACCAAGCTCTGAGACCACCAAGGACCCCCCGGTTCAACCCCGAGCTGCAAATATTCTCTTCGGTTGGAGAAAGATCCGCCAATCTCTGTTGGATAATTAAATTCATTGCAAAGACAACCAAGGCTATCATTATGCCACATTTTATCTCCAGCGGGGTTAAACTCAAACAACTCTTTTTTGTTGTTGTTTCAGCTGAAACTGTTATGTAGCCTTATCTTCTTTGTCATTCAATTACTCTTACGCTTATTTCCCTAGGGTGAGCCTTATCTGAACACCGCTTACAGCCACATGATTTGCTACTGGGATGGCTCCATTCATTATCTGATGTATCTTCTGATGGTCGCAGCCATTGCCTGGGAGTACGTAAGCATGACCTTTGGGGAGCTAAGCATGACCTTTGGGGGGAGGGGCTAAGCATGATATGAGCCCTGGTGGCGCAGTGGTTAGTATGCAGTATTGCAGGCTACTTCTGCTGACTGCTGGCTGCCATCAGTTGGGCAGTTCGATTCTCACTAGCTCAAGGTTGATTCAGCCTTCCATCTTTCTAAGGTCAGTAAAATGAGGACTCAGATTGAATCCTCAAAATATACAGCTCTCTTTTCTCCCAATGTGATCTTCACAAAAACATCCCTATGATGTAATCAGGGCAGAGAGATCTTCCAACGACGTGGCTGAAGATTATTCTGAACCCAAATCTTCCTGGTCATGCTCCCACCCTCTGAACCCAACAAACTACACAGCCACAGTGATTCTATTCCCATTTAGATGGGATATTTTCTTTTCTTCACCTGGCAAATACGTCTTACCTTTTGCCGCCTCCACCCTATAGGGCTGAGTATTTTAAAAACGGTCCCATTAATGTTTTAAACGAATGCAATGATTTAGTGCAAGTGATGCATTCACTGATTATAAATATATAGGCACGTGTAGTTTAATTGTACCTCCAGAAAGAGGACATGCATCACAGTGGTATCTGAAAGCAAGGTCTTCTATTTTCTCTGGCAGGGAAAATTATCGGATGATTGGCTTGTACTGGCTGGGATCCATCACAATGAGCATAATTGTCTTTATCCCCGGAAATATTGTGGGTAAGGAAATATTAAGAATACACTTTGCTTTGGGGCTTTAATAATTGACCTCTTTTCAAAGTTTTGGATAATTAACCTCTTTTCAGATTGTTGCATTTTCAAGGCAGTGAGATTAGTGGTGACCAATGAACTGCATATTATATAGTATCATAGAGCAGGTTGGGAGCATTTAGCTAACTTTGGCCAATCTCAAAAGCCAAGCAGTCTGAGATATGTTTAGTGCTGCGATGGGAGATTGGATAACCCAGAATTGCACACTAGCTGGAAAGTCAAAAATGACAACGTGCATGACAACGTGCCACGGCCAATTCACTGCAGCCAGCTTGCCATGGCCAACTCACCGTGGCCAACTTGCCACAACAACTTGCTGCGGGAGAAGAGTTACACTAATATCAAAGAAATAGGGGACTAGAATCATTAAAGGATGCCCAGGGAGAGACAACATGAAATGCGAATGACAAGAATTAAAATATTTTAAAAAATTATTTTAAACAATTAAATTGAATTGTTGAATTGTTGTCCTGCAGTGAGCTGTCCCATGGTGAGGCCGCCATGGCAAGTTCTCCCATGGTGAGTTGACCATGGCATGTTGGCTATGGTTAATTGGCTGCAGTCAGTTGTCAGTTGTCCTATTCTGAGCTGCAACAAAGCAGTGATTAATCCCTTTTGTTGTTTTTTTCAAGAAAACTGTATGAAATCATCAGGAGTTGAACCCTACTAGAAGGAGACTCTCCTACTGTTGAACTAATAAAACAAATAAGTCACAATTCAGTAAACCGAAAGCAAATTGCATTGTCGCACCATATCCTACACCTGATATAAGCTCAGATTTATATTTGACACCTTCTGGAGGAAAATAAAAAACGAAGTAGAATATTTGTGGTGCCTTTCCTCCCCCTTTTTTTCTCCATTTCCTGGAATAAATGTCAACCAGGATGGAGTTGATCATGTAAATTGTGAATTTTGAGAGTTGTAATCTAACACATCTGGAGATCACCATACTTAGCTCCCTCCAGATGTGCTTGAATATAACTGCTAGTTCCCAGACAGAATATCTGGATATTAGGAACGTTTACATGATATTAGCTGTATCTTCATGACAAGAGAATATTACTGTAAGTATTGTGGTTCACCGGCAGCCGAATCCGACAGTGAGGAAGAAAGGGGAGGGAGTCTGGGGAGGACTCGGAAGGGGGTCCTGCGTCCGATGCAGAGATGGGGCCAGGACCATCTGGGAGTGGAGTGCTGACTCCGGAGCCTCCAGAGTCCGGCAGCAGCGAGGCAGAGGACCGAGGGGAGCCTGTTCCTACTGTGCGTGTGCACAGAGCTGCTAGAAGGCGAGAGCAGCTGAGACAAAAGGGGTGACTCAGGAGTAAGGCTGGGAGGTGATTGCCCCTCCCATAAGGGATAAAAGCCAGACCTAAATGACGAAACCTTTGCAGGAAGCAAAGTAGTTTGATCGGTTTTGAGTCATCCTTCAGCTCTGTGTACTTTGGTTGGTTTTTTTTCTTATACTTCGGTTGGTTTCTTTTATAGTTAATTAGATACTTCTGTTTTCGGCAGCATTCCACAGAACTGAAAGGTGTATCTTGGGGGACTGTTTAAGATTAGTTCCGGCTGGGAATTAAAACAATTCCCAGTGTTGCAATAAAATAGGTTTTGCTTTTAAAACAAGTTTGTGATTAATTACGTTTGACAAAGCCTGGGTCAGAACAGAAAGATAGTCTGATATATGAGCCCAGCTAGGGAGCTTATCTCATGTTTGAATGCATTGTATGAAACTTTGAAAGTGAGATACCTGAATAAACCAGGATTCAAATAACCCAGTTAATCTTGTCATGCAAACAAGATCAGTAAACTGCACTGGATTCCTTGTGATTTTCATCTGAATAAGCATGCAAAAGATTTGCGCTGTTCAACCTGTCATTAACCATCCTTAATTCATGTTTTCCCTGTTGCCAAATAGGAAAATATGGAACAAGAATGTGTCCTGTATCTTTGTTAAGCGTGCCGTATATTTGCCTCCCAATATGGGCTGGTTTCAAAATCTATAATCAACCATCAGCAGCTGCCAATTTTCCAACAAAGGTATTCTTCTTGTTACTGTTGTCATTATGGAAAGGAGAAGGAAAAAGGCTTGAATTTCAAAAGAATAGAATGAGAATCCCCATTTCCTGATTTTTCTGAATGTGTGGTGACTTGCCAGTATCCTTCTTAAAATGTGGCAGCCAGTTTGCAAGACACTGGGGCTGAATTCACCTCACGCTCAGCCAAAAACGAATAAATTACATTGCAACTCCGAAGGCCTGAGACATGTCATTTCATCCTAGGTGAAGACATATTCCTGCTTACTTTCCCCATGCATAGAAACACAGTCTTCACGTGTACAGGTAGTCAGTCCTTGGACTCACAACAGTTTGTTTAGTGTCTCTATAGAGATTCTCAGTCATCCAGGTCACGGTCATCCCAAAGGTGCTTTTTCCTAAGGCAACTGGACTTCATTTTTCCTTGAAGATGTTTTACTTCTCATCCAAGAAGCTTCTTCAGTTCCGAGCCAGAACTGAAGGAGCTTCTTGGATGAGAAGCGAAACATCTTCAAGGAAAAATAAAGTCCAGTTGCCTTTGGAAAAAGCACCTTTGGGACGGGTTTGTTTAGTGACAAGTGACAACGGTACTGAAAAAAGTGACTCTTATCTTTTTTCAACACTTATGGGTCTAGCGACAACCCCATGGTCACATGATCCAATCCAGACACTTGTCAACTGATTTTTGCCTCATAATGAGGCAAAATTCAGTTGACAAGTGTCTGGATTGGATCATGTGACCATGGGGTTGACTCATATTTATGATGGATGCTGCAACTGTCAAGCCAACTCAATGGGGAAGCCAGATTCACTTAACAACCATGTTACTAGCTTAACAATTGCAGCGATTCCCTTAACAACTGTGGAATTGTCACGGTGCGGCAAGAAAGGTTGTAAAATGGGCCCAAAACTCACGGAACAAATGTCTCCCTTAGCAACATAAATTTTGGGCTCAAATCCAGTCGTAAATCGAGGACTACCTGCCTCGAGGGAAATGTTCTGAGCCTCAGCAACATCTTACCTTAAGGGGAAATGGATGTGGGTTTTGTTTTGAAGGCAGGTGAAAGTGACAAAACAAGTCTATGAACTAAACATAATTTGGTTTCCAACTCTGCTGCTGCCTCCGTTTAAAAAAGGGTTCTTCAAACAACCTCATGAGGCTAAATCTTTTCAACAACAAAAAAAAAGCCTGTTTTTTCTTGTGGTTTTCCTTCTGCTTTTTTGTTATGTCTTCTTGTTGTAAGAGCTACAGTAAATGGCAATGCAATGACTTAGGTTGGCTCGACTCCAAACAGTTAGTACTCCAGAAGCAGTCAGGAAATGTTTTTTTCTGTTTCTTGAAAAACATTTTCTTCTAGGATTTTAGAATAGAATAGAATAGAACAGAACAGAACAGAATAGAATATTGGAATAGAATAGAATAGAATAGAATATTGGAATAGAGTAGAATAGAATAGAATAGGATAGAATAGAATAGAATAGAATATTGGAATAAAGAATAAAGTAGAATAGAAATAGAATAGAATAGAATAGCATAGAATAGAATAGAAATGGAGTAGAGTGGAAGAGGAAGAGGAGGAAGAGGATAGGAATAGAATAGAATTAGAATAGAATAGAATAGAATAGAATAGAATAGAATAGAATAGAATA